CACTCCCGAGGTACACGTAATTTTCGACGTCTTCGATTGGGCTCCCTTTAAGGTTACGGTCGCACCTCCGGCGAATCGGTTCCGCATGACTTTCGTTTTTGATGTGTTCATCGTCAAACCGTACTGACTCCCTTCTTGGTCCAAACGATCCAACATCTCGGACGCTTCCTCTGGCGAGCTAGTAATAAGCACAATGTCATCGGCGAAGCGAAGGTGATTCAGAAGAGTGCCGTCAATGTTCAATCCAAATCTGCTCCAATCGCTATAAGGGATTACGAACACGCGGAGAAGCAGGTTGGGTGAGATTGGACCTTGTCGCACACCTTTCTCAATTGAAACTACCACATCGTTGAAAAAAGGGCGGAACGTGGTAGTACAATCGGTGTAACATTCCTGCAGCACGTCTATGTAGATCTTCTCAATTCCTTGCTCTTCTAGCGATTCCCAAACCTTCATTGGCTCTACCGAATCGAACGCCTTCTTGTAGTCAACAAATGTGAGTACAAGAGGCATGTGGTGTTCTCGAGCTGCTTCTATTAGGTTGTCCCAAACGTTCTGGGACACTTTCAAACATTTTTTCGAATTAAGTTTATTCCAGTGGGAAGCAATTTTGATCAGCTATATACAGGGGTGGCCAAAAAAAAGTCACTTTGACCAAGTCACATATCAGCAAAGTTTTTGCAGCCTAGACAGAGGACGTAGATACGAGTACCATGCAGGGCACATCATTGGTTGAGGAATCCCCATAGGGGGGGGGTCGTATTTGGCCGCCAGGAGAGGGGGTCGTAATGAGGGCGGTAGCCAGTATCGAGCAGCGCAAAGGTCTCAGTGTGCTGAGTCCAGAGTAGCGGAACTCGCTTTGTAGAGAACTCGGATATGTAAAAGAAATAGTAGAAAACTTTCAACCATCAATTAATCCGAAATAACTGAAATTATTATTATAATAAGTCGACATTATCTCGTAAGTCCGTTGATGACTGAACAGTACAACTCATACTCTGGTTCGTTGCGGATGATGGGGCGTGTCCGCGATTACGCTTGGCGCTGAGCCAACCTTTTTTCAACAAACGACAGGACTACCATATCGTTCGAGACGTTTTCCAGCAGTTGGTC